ATGGTCTATGAAAGAACATCTTATAGCATTTAAGGAAGCCTTACTTAAAAGAACTGACGAATCTTTTTATTGATCAAATCTTTATTTTGTAATGGAACCACTGCCTGATCCACCTGCTTAATATAGTCAGGTAAAGTCACAGGACATGGCCTCTTGTCAAACAGAACCGACAATCCTGGCATATTGCTGCTAAGGAGGAGAAAGGAAAGTAGCCTTCAGTTACTGAGCACTTAGGGTTTACCTCCGTTAAACCGTCCAATCTTCCCCAAAATCCTATAAAATAGTATTAACATCTTTTTTTTTAATAAGGGTACAGGTTTGGAAACTTGTCTGTGATTACACAGAAAATAAGTTGTAGTTCCAGAACTGGACAACAGATATAACTGGCCCCTTCCACTCTTACCGCATGCAGTAAACGATCCTTGGAGAAATGTTCTCTAGAAAAGAATATCACTGTACATACTGCAAAAATCAAAGTATTAATCCAAAGAAGCCATAAGGGCTTTCTAATTTTACTGCGATATTCACACAAAATAGATAATAATTATCAGTTAAATGAATAAATCTAAAGTTGTTCGTTGTTGAGGAATAATCAATCATAAGTTCTTGGCCTGGATTCTCTTCTCTTTAGTCACACATTAGGCTACTGGTCTCAATATTTTAAGCTCTCCTTTAGTAAATCAAAATTTAAGGGTGATAAAAAAAAAAAAATCACACAACCTTATGTTTTGCTGTCATTGAAAATTACCGAATTCTAATCTCAGCTCCATGAAACCATTCTTAACCTGTCTTAGCTCAGTGACTATTCCAAAACCCCACCATTCTCCTTTCCCACCGAACGCCCCACCCCCATCTCCTCTCATCAAGTGACCTTGACTCCTATCTACCTCTTAGAGAACATAAGCTTTGAACTCTCAAACCTTTTACCACCCAACCTATAAATATCCATATCTATTCTCACTTCTTTTCTTCCTTTTCCAGTGCATCTCTCCTCCTGTCTACACTAGCACACTGCCTAGGATCACAGCTAGCTAGCACTTAGTTGATACTTTAAAAATGTAACAAACTAATTCTAGACTGATTCTTCCAATTCTGCTCATCCATCGTTCCCTACATTTTCAGAGACAGATCCATCCACTATCTCCTCTCTCTCCTCTCCTACATCTTCAAACATTTCCTCTTCATTGGCTCTTTCCCTAACAGCTCATCAGTCTTTAAAGGAAAAAAAAAACCCTACAAACCTTTTTCAGTTACTGCTTTATCCCTTTCTTTTCTTCAGAGTCAAACTTCTTTAAAGAAAAGTGTGTCTGGGGATTTTATATTAAGGAAGTACTGTCCATTTCTTTTAAGCAGGATAATAGTGCAGTTTTTGGTTTTTTTTAAGAAAGAATCCTTAAAAAAAATTTTTTAAGTTTATTTAAGTAATCTCTATACCCAACGTGGGGCTCGAACTCACTGCCCTGAGGTCAAGAGTCGCGCTCTCTACCAGTGGAGCCAACCGGGCACCCCAAACAGATATATATTGAAAACAATTACAGATAAAAAGATATGATACCTGAGCTTAGCTTTAAAACAATCCAAAAATAAATAAGTTAATTAATCAAAAATAAATAATCCAGTTGGGGGCAGGGGTTATAGATGAAACAAAATTGGTGATGTGCTCATTCTTCAAGCTTAGGTAATGACTACACGGGACTCATCATTCTATTTTCTTTTGTATTTGTATTATTATGGAAAAAGCAAATGTTTTTTTTTCAAGTGGCTTAAGCTCACATTCCTCTTTCTCATTTTTGCAAAGTTTAGAAGTGATTTGAAGTCACCAGATCCACTGGGTACATTTCAATCTTTACCTTACTTGCCCTCTGCAAGACACATGATACTCTGGGCCATTCCTGCTTCTAACTTTCCTCTCGTTTGTCATTTGTTATGCATGCCCGCTCTGATTCTTCTCTTTCTCTACCTCCCAATCTCTCAGTCTCATTTGTGGGCATTTCTCCCACTTGCTTTCAAACATGGTCCTCCCTCCCCTCCTCAAACACACACACACACACACACACACCATAAATGCTGCTGCTTCCCAAACTTATTCAAACTTTTCCTTTTTCGTTTCTATATATTCCTATGTGAGCTGACTCATTCTCTCCTTTAATTTCAACTACTTATGCACATGCAAACCTCCACCTCCAGCCCTGAACTCTCTCCTGAACTCCAGATCCAAATGCATCCTTACCTGAATATCCCACAAGAACTTTGAATGAATACTCAAAACTGAACTGGTCTTTATCTTTCACCCCATCAAAACCCTGCTCCTTTTCCTCTCGATCAATGGTTTTATTATCCTTTCAGACATCCTAGGCAGAAAACTAAGAATCATTTGTCTTAAGGTTCCAAATACGTCTAGCCCCCAACTTAAATCGTACTAATTTTATCCCTTAAATACTTCCACAATCCCTGTCTTTCCATAACTCCAACTGCTTAGTTCAGACTCTCTTCATTTTTCCACTGTATTTTTCTTCCCCTAAAACTGATTGCCCCATACCACTTTAATTTCCCCCCTCCTGGGTCTATTCTTCACACTTCAGCTGGAGTTATCTCTCTAAAATACAAACCCAGGGGCGCCTGGGTGGCTTAGTTGGTTAAGCATCCGACTTCAGCTCAGGTCATGATCTTACAGTCCATGAGTTCAAGCCCCACATCGGGCTCTGTGCTGACAGAGCAGAGCCTGGAGCCTGCTTCAGATTCTGTGTCTCCCTCTCTCTCTGCCCCTCCCCTGCTCGTGCTCTGTCGCTGTCTCAAAAATAAATAAAAACATTTAAAAAAAAATTTTAAATACAAACCCAATAACACCACTACTCCATTTGAAATTCTTCAATGGTTGCCCCATGATGAAAAACAAAAACAAAAACAAAAACTTCCAAACTCTTTATCATGATACCAAGTACTTTAATATCTGGCCTCTCCCATCACTATACTGCATTCACTCTGGAACTGGGGCATCAGAATGACCTAGGATTCTCCAAACAAAACACTCAAATATATCCTTTGCTTTTTGTTGTGCCATTTGCCTAGAATGAGTTCCCTCAACTTCCCTCCAGTGAAAGCCTACTCAACTTTCTTTAACGTGGGTCAAATGGAACATCACACTGGAAACTTCCCCTGATCTCCTTAGAGTCAGGGTATTTCTACCAGTGGGTACAGAGAACAGCCATCAGTGGCTGAGATCACGACTTAGATGAGTTAGACCCACTTGGGTTGAAATCCCAGGTTCAAACCTTACCAGGTACGACTCTGGACAAAAATCTTTAAGCCTGTTTCCTCGTCTCTGAATAACAGTAGTTAGGGATTTTTATGAGGATTAAATAATGGACTACATACAAAATACTGTATAGTGCCTCGCTGAGATTAGGTAATCAATAAATGTTACTGTTATATTGCGATTTATTCCCACTCTGGGCCTCTGGGCTCCTATAGCAACTTGCACCTATCTCTGTCATACCGTTACGATAACATGACTGTTTGCTCATACAGAACACATCGTCTTATTCCCACTATCTGGCATAATGTCCACAATTTAACAGGCTCGTTAACAAAGCTTGAATGAATAAATAAAACACTTCCAATCCCTATAGTATTAAGGCGTCAAATTTTTTACTAACGGTCTTACTAGATTTAAGTTCCATCTCCTTGTACAAAATCGGTAATTTAAGTAAAAGTTACAGGCCAGTCTCATTTTAATGGAGAAAAATAGGAATTTTGTAGTGGCCTTATGTTGTTTACTTGTTGAAAACACACCCACAAAATAAAACCGCCGTGCTACCAAGGATTTTTTTGCATACTATATAAAATACCAAATTTCTAAGATGGTTGTCTCCCTGTTGAAAAAAATTTAAAGGTTTTCTAAATCTGTGTCAGCTTCCTTACCACCAGGACCTAAGCCAACCCTAAGGGCTAAGGTGTATTACAGAGTTGCTGTTTCGTTTTGTTTGGGCAATTTTCATCCTGAAAGCACGCTCCTGAGAAATTCCGAAGAATACTGAAATAACCAAAGAAAATAATTAGTACCCACTGCTAAAAAGCAAAAAAATCAATCAATCAATAAATAAATAAGAAAGAAAAGTCTGTGCTTTAAAAATTCCAGTGATTTAAAGTTAAACTCATCTTCAAACTAGAATCAAAATATGTGCAGGCAGCGGCCAAGCTAGTAAGTGGGAAGGTGGGGGTCCTCATTTTGCGATCTTAACCCTCAATAAATACAATGCAAAAGGCAAAATGGTTATGAAAAAAAAAAAAGATACTACTATATAAAAGCATGGTCTCTACTTCTACACTTGACCTTTAAACATTAATGCCTTTTGAATACTAATTAATTAGGGGCTTAATATGCAAACACCTCTGAGCTACTTCAGAATAATCATGAATAAAAGCCTAGTAACCACACGTTCTCAGGAAAAGGAGAAAGGCCTGTTAAAAAAAAAAAAAATTTAGTTTCTCAGGTCTCGCATCAAATGTGTGCCATACATACGGTTCGGCACCGAGAGGCAGCAACCTGGGAGGGTCAGAGGCGCCGCAGGCCCGAGGCCCTGCGGCTGGGGTGGCTGCTCATCCCTGAGACTTACGCGGGGCGGTGGCCCAGCCCAGCCGGGGTGGGGCTGAGCGCTGTCAGCCGGGGCGGGCCCAACGGCGGGCCACCCAAGTCTCACCTCCACTTCCCTTTCCCAGCGCGGAGCCCAGTTCCGCGACCACCCAAGAGCCCCCGCACCACAAAGACAGATTTTTTTTCTCGCCCGGTCCGCTCAAAGTTTATCGTTCTCTGCCAGCCGTCGGGGCCGCCGGGCTTTGTAGTTCGCCGGTCCAGGCCACCCCGCCGAGGCCGAGAGCCTGTGCAGCCGCTAAACTACAATGCCCATAATGCCCCGCGAGCCTCGCGCTCCCACTGCCCTCCTCCTCCCCTCCCGGCGCCCCAGGACCGCGGCACTGCCCTGGCGGCGGGAGACCGGGTGGGGCCGCCCACCTGAACGCCCCACCACCTGCCCTCTCCTGCCCGCGGCGCTCTCCCTCGGATTCATTACCTAGGTGCCGCAGGTCGGCCGGCTGTGGGTGATGCGGTCCGGGTGGGGGTGGGGCACAGGCCGCCGCCGCAGCCGCCGCCGCGGAGTCCGTTAGTTCCCGACGTGCGTGAAGAGGCGGTGGCGGCGGCGTACGGTTGCCATGGCAGCCGCGGACCGAGCGGTGGGGGGCGCGCGGGGACTCCAAGACAACTCGGGGGAGGAGCCTGGGAACCCCACCCGGGTGCGGGGGAAGGGAGGCGCCCGGGTGCTTCGGGGGAAGGAGGGAGACTGTGACATTGAGGAGGGCGAGTGACTAATGACTCGGTGGGGCCGGATGAGCCCTGCTGCGGCAGCGTCCAATCGCCTTGGCATGACGCGTGTCCTGTGCCGTCGGCGGAGCGCGTTGGTGCCCGCTCTATTCCGAGAGGGTGCCTGTGGCGTCAGAGGAAGGAGCGCCCCAGCGGCTCAGCGCCGGCTCTTTAAAGGTCGTCTGGTCCGGCCCCTCCCCCGCCGCCTCTGCCGAGTGGCGGGGTGGGACCCGAGCCACCCTGGGGCTTTTCACCGGGAAAGTCGCAGTCTCTCACACCTTTCTGCCACTCTGAGGCGTGGGCTAGAAATGAATCCGTTAGTAAAAATGTAGTGCCTACAGCCTTTAGGCTCCTTCGGGAGGTTTGAGAACTTGTACGTGGCAGTGATTTCAGCTGAATTTTTGATGTGTAATATTTCTTAGGTAACCGTTTGCGGACTCTCCAGGACCCACCTGAGAGATGCAGTGCGGTAGAAACTGAGGTCAAGCGCATGGGCTTCCGAAACCCGCTTCTGGGTTCACGTCCTGCCCCTATACTTGGTAGCTGATAACCGGGGGGCAATTTATTTACCCCCTGTGATGCTGAAAGTTTTAATCTGCAAAATGCAGGTAATGGCCAGCTCCCAGTGCTTGTGAGAAATAAAAAGCATTAGTGCTGGTGAAGCACCGTAAAACAAAGACTGGCATTTAACAATAACTTTTAAATCTTAGTTATTTAACATTTCCTGATAAGTATCAGGAGAATGGGTAGCCTGGAGGTGAGGGTGGGACTTTTTTTTTTTTTTTTTT